CTCAGGCAATCCACTCACCTCAGCCTCCCAAAGTGCTGGGATTACAGCCTGAGCCACCGAGCCTGGTTGAATGTCAGTTATTTTATAGAATTCTTTTTGATGAAAGTCAGTTATTTTATAGAATTCCCTCAATTTAGATTTCCTCTCAATTAGACCCAAGTTAAGAATTTTGAGTAGGAATATCACAGAAGTGATGTGTCCTTCAATGTAACACATCAAAGAGGCACAGATGATAGCTGCTTGCCCTTCCTGGTGATAATAATTTTACATACCCAGTCAAGGTATTGTTCAGCTTAACCATTGAATAGCTGTAAATTTTTCCTCTTGCAAATAATACACAATCTGTGGGGAAACACTTATGAGACAACGCAAATATCATGATTATCATGTTCTGCACACTAGATTTAGCATCCATTAACAAATCTTGCCAGAACCAATAATGAATAATATGGTTGTAAAATAGTATTTTTCCATTTCTTCTACACTTATCAATACTATAAAGCTAAGTTATCACCTTTTCCTACACTCTTTTAGTACCAATTAAATGCCTACAGTATTCTCTATGTCCTGTGCTAAATCTAGAGATACAAAGAAAAATAAAACACTAGTCTCCAGAAAGGACTAGGGCTGAACCAATGTTGGAGAAGACACATAAAGAAATGATTACTAGCCGGGCTTGGTGGCTCAGCCTGTAATCCCGTGCCTTTGGGAGGCTGAGGTGAGTGGATTGCCTGAGCCCGCGGGTTCGAGACCTGCCTGGGCAGCAAGACTTCATCTCTACAATAAATCAAAAAATTAGCCGGGCATGGTAGCACATGCCTGTAATTCCGGCTACTTGGAAGGCTGAGGTGGAAGGATCGCCGGAGTCCAGTAGGTCGAGGCTGCGGTGGCCGGGAGTAGCCACTGCACTCCTATCTGGGCGACAGAGTGAGACTCCAACTCAAAAAAAAAAAAGAAATGATTACTGTAAAATGTGGAAAAACTCTAAGATAAGAGCGCTTCACATAAGACAGAAACAACACGGTATTTTAGTTGGAGAAAAGAAGGTCCTTAAAGAGTATATGACAAGGAAAGGAGTTGTTGAGTCTATAAAGACAGTGACAGCAGCACTTGCCAGCCATGTTTGAAAAGCTCCAATAGCAGAAGGTTACTGGTACTGTTAACACCAGAACTGCCTGTCACCCAATTCAAAGAACAGCATTCACTCATGCATCCATTCACCCACCTACGTATTAAGTATCCTCAATGAGTTATACATTGGTCATATAGAAATGCTCAAGAAACTTATAGCTTAACAGGAAAAGTATACAGGTAAACAACAACAAGGAATTTATATTATAGCTTATATGTAATAAATGCCACAACAGAACTATGGCCCAAGTCAAATGGTAGCACTGGGGTGTTCAGATTGATCAGAAGGTAGGAAAAAGTATTCTGGAAGCAATTGCCAAAATGGTTTTAAGGATAGTTGCATTCTCACCTACTGTTATTAGACAAAAAAATTTTAGAAATAATGGCTGAGATACAGAGAAATGTGCAAGTTTATGTACTACCAGCCAAAAGGAGAACAAATTAGCACAGTGTTCCTCTGACCCTTTTGTAACTTTTTGTCTTAACTTTGCTCTTAACTTCTAAATCTCCCACCAATAATTTTTTAAATCAGAAAATTCCAAGTATCGAAGATAGTGAAGTTCAAATGGCTGGAGGCCAAGTATGTGCTAAGATGACAGGCTCTCCACCTCTGAAATATCCACAGTCCAGTGGAACAAATATGTAAACGACACATTGTAGAACCAAACCAAGGATGAAATTTTATAGCACAAGAATGACAAGACAAGAAGCTAAAGGTATTAAAGTAGATCATATTGCCTAGTCTTTTTGGCCCCATAAGATACTCCTTCAATTCCCCTGAATTTAGTCCTCCACAATAACTGGCCTTTCTCACATGCCTGGGAATGTAGCAATAGGAGTTATAATTGGGACATTAGACTTCAGACACTCACTAAAAGTAGTAGACTTTTGTGCTATTGGTAATTTGGGTAACTGGGTCCTAAACAAATCATCATGGGGCATTTTCCTACAGCATCCTCCTCACCTGCATCTTGTACAGTGGGCAGGGGGTGGGGGGGGAAGTAGATTCTATAATTTAAATCTAAATTAAGTAGTTTAATTAAGCAATGTTCAATTCTTAGCTTTGACAAATGTACCATAGTTATATAAGATGTTAACATTAGGGGAAGCTGGCAAAAGATATACAAGAATTCTCTATACTATCTTGCAATTTTTCAGTAAATCTAAAAATATTTCAAAATAAAAAGTTTAAAAAAAAAAGAGCTCTGGGCCAGACGCGGTGGCTCATGCTTATAATCCCAGCACTTAGGGAGGCCAAGGTGAAAGGACTACCTGAGCCCAGATTCGAGACCAGCCTGGGCAACTTGGCAAGACCTCATCTCCACAATAAATCAAGAAAAACTAGACGGGCGTGGTAGCACATGCCTATAGTTCCAGCTACTGGGAAGGCTGAAGCAGAAGGACTGCCTGAGCCCAGCCAGTCGAGTCTGTGGTGGCCGTGAGCATGCCAGTGCACTCTAGCCTGCGCAACAGAGTGAGACTCCAACTCAAAAAAAAAAAAAAAGCTCTGGTGAGGCAAGCTGACAAGGGTTCCAATACTAGAGACCTTCACCAGATAGGTCTCTCTCAAGAGTACCTGCAAGAGACAGGATAATACCTATGTCTTGAGTAGTGTGGACTAGAATGAAAACCTGTGTATTAAGGACCCGACAACGATGAGAAAAATTCCAAAAACCCCTAAAGGATTTCCTAGACAGTTCCTTCAGCAAAAGGTCATGAAATGAATTCCTAGAAATAAGATATACTCACCCTGGCAAGGTCCTGGAGAAAGGTTTTGACACTGTCAGCCATCTCTTCACCACCCAAACTATCAACTACCCAGAGGAGAGAGAAGCGCCCCCAAATCTCTCATCATGAAGGTCCTGAAAACAGATGGAGCACAATGGGGAAAACATATTTATCTTAAAGATAAGTTACTCTGGCCATTGCTTTGTTAAACTCTAGTGTGTCCACGTGGCTCTTTGAGCTACGGCTACCATATTTCTTGGCTCTGGCCCCTCCTTTACCTTGGAGGGATGAATCGCCTCTCTCTTCTCTCTCTAATTTACTTTCTAAATAAACTATACTTTCCAATCTAAAAGAAAAAAAAAGATAGTCTGGGCAGAGTGGTTCAGCCTGTAATCCCAGTACTTTGGAAGGCCGAGGTGAAAGGATTGCCTGAACTCAGGGGTTCAAGACCAGCCTGGGCAACTTGGTGAGCCCTCATCTCTATGACAAATCACAAAAAATTAGCTGGGCATGGTGGCATACGCCTGTACTTCCAGCTACTTGGAAGGCTGAGGCAGAAGGATCACCTAAGCCCAGCAGGTGGAGGCTGCAGTGGCTGTGAGCGTGCCACTGCACTACAGCCAGGGCAACAGAGTGAAACTCCAACTCAAAAAAAAAAAAAAGATAATTTACTTCATGCACCTATCTACATAACTGTCTCACACACTTGCAGGTTTAATAGAACAGCAGTAGAGTCTAGCACTCTAGCAGTATTATCACTAATACAGTAAACTAAGTGAAGCTATTCCTGTATTGTTGAAAATTAAAATCCAAATTTAGCCGGGCTCGGTGGCTCAGCCTGTAATCCCGCGCCTTTGGGAGGCTGAGGTGAGTGGATTGCCTGAGCCTGTGGGTTCGAGACCCGCCTGGGCAGCGAGACCTCATCTCTACAATAAATCAAAAAATCAGCCGGGCGTGGTAGCGCATGCCTGTAATTCCGGCTACTTGAAAGGCTGAGGCGGAAGGATCGCCGGAGCCCAGCAGGTCGAGGCTGCGGTGGTCAGGAGCGGCCACTGCACTCCAGTCTGGCCGACAGAGTGAGACTCCAACTCAAAAAAAAAAAAATCCAAATTTTTTCAAATCACTCACAACTGTTGGTAATGTGCTTTTGTACCAGTAGTCTACTTTGAGCCTTGATGTCTTTATCACTCCTGTACATTCCAAGCACTTTTGAGGATTTGGAAATGAATGGTAATTACATTTCAAAATCTTCTTAAGCAATTATTTGATTGCTTTTCATTTTTTAAATAGAGATGGGTCTTGCTATGTTAATTAGGCTAGTTTCAAACTCCTGGTCGCAAGCAATCCTCCCACCTCAGTCTCCCAAAGTGCTGGGAGTACAGGTGAGCCACTGCACCCAGCCTTTTTTTTCTTTTGAGTCGGAGTCTCACTCCATTGCCCAGACTGGAGTACAGTGGCTGCTCCC